ACCTCCCCCTGCCACCAGCTTCACTGCCCTGCCACCAGCTTCACTGCCCTGCCACCAGCTTCACCGCCCTGCCACCAGCTTCACTGCCCTGCCACCAGCTTCACTGCCCTGCCACCAGCTTCACTGCCCTGCCACCAGCTTCACTGCCCTGCCACCAGCTTCACTGCCCTGCCACCAGCTTCACTGCCCTGCCACCAGCTTCACTGCCCTGCCACCAGCTTCACTGCCCTGCCACCAGCTTCACTGCCCTGCCACCAGCTTCACTGCCCTGCCACCAGCTTCACTGCCCTGCCACCAGCTTCACTGCCCTGCCACCAGCTTCACTGCCCTGCCACCAGCTTCACTGCCCTGCCACCAGCTTCACTGCCCTGCCACCAGCTTCACTGCCCTGCCACCAGCTTCACTGCCCTGCCACCAGCTTCACTGCCCTGCCACCAGCTTCACTGCCCTGCCACCAGCTTCACTGCCCTGCCACCAGCTTCACTGCCCTGCCACCAGCTTCACTGCCCTGCCACCAGCTTCACTGCCCTGCCACCAGCTTCACTGCCCTGCCACCAGCTTCACTGCCCTGCCACCAGCTTCACTGCCCTGCCACCAGCTTCACTGCCCTGCCACCAGCTTCACTGCCCTGCCACCAGCTTCACTGCCCTGCCACCAGCTTCACTGCCCTGCCACCAGCTTCACTGCCCTGCCACCAGCTTCACTGCCCTGCCACCAGCTTCACTGCCCTGCCACCAGCTTCACTGCCCTGCCACCAGCTTCACTGCCCTGCCACCAGCTTCACTGCCCTGCCACCAGCTTCACTGCCCTGCCACCAGCTTCACTGCCCTGCCACCAGCTTCACTGCCCTGCCACCAGCTTCACTGCCCTGCCACCAGCTTCACTGCCCTGCCACCAGCTTCTCCTACTCCGCCTCCCACTCTCCTCTCCCCACCCGCCGTAGCATTTCCTCCCCCCTCATGAGCCCCAGGGGGCTCTCAATCGCATCTGCACCCCCCTTCGGAGCATGCCCTTGCATGAGAGCATCATTCGGCTGCGCCCCCCATCGCACCTCTTTCCAGTCCCAACATTCCCCAATTCCATCATCTCCTAAATCTCCTTCACATCTCCTTCACACCTTCTTCACATCTCCTTCCCATCTCCTTCCCATCTCCTTCCCACCTCCTTCCCACCTCCTTCCCAACTCCTTCCCACCTCCTTCCCACCTCCTTCCCGCCTCCTTCCCACCTCCTTCCCACCTCCTTAACACCTCCTTCGCACCCATCCACTTCACACCCATAACACCACCTCCATCAGCATGAAGAAACCTTTGCAATCCCAAATCAGCCAGCACAGAGACACTGCAAGCAGCAGAATCAGAGCAGGGGATCCTCCAATAGAAGCACCTTCAGCTGTAGGCAACAACTCCAGAAAATCCCCGCTGACGAAAACCAGCGCACTCGAGCTTTTCTAGTCATCTTCACCAGTGGAGTCAGGAATCAGCTGCACGAAATTCGCAGGAAGGGAGGGGATGGAGGTGTCACGCAGTATCAGCTGGTGCAGCTGGATGAGACGCTCCGGGAGGTACTGCAAGGCGTTGCAGCGAATCAGCTCCAGTTTGCGCAGCCGAGACAAGCGGTTCATGCCTTGAGGTAGCGCCACCAGCCGAGGTGCGTTGATTGTCAATGACATCAGCGAGCGCAGCTCCAGTATGCTTCTTGGCAGCTTCTTTCGTGACCATGATAGAAGCTCCAGGTGCCGCAGCTCCGGCATCGTTGTAGCCAGGTTTCCCCAAAGTCTGCGGATTCCAGGCGCCTGTATCAACAGGCTGTGCAGGCGAGGGAGAAAAGTTGGTAGGACTGGAAGCTGCTGACTGTTGACGGTCAAGCGCATCTCCAGCTGCTCTAGCTGCTCCAGCTGCTGCAGACACAATAACCTGCTATTCACTGCAGGCCCATCGTGCACCCCAATGCAGTTCAGCTTCAGGACCCTCAGCTGCGACAGCTGGGAGATGTCCACCACATGGGAAGAGCCTTCTTTGAAGGGCCCCAAACAGAGGGTCTCAAGAGAGGGAGGCAGATCATCGGGGAGATTATCCAACTCACAACAATCCGTCAGCTCGAAGCTCCTAAGCCCCACAAGCGTGTCTAGGCTTGCGGGTACTTTTGAGAGTGTCCTACACCTGGTGATCTTCAATCTCTTGAGTCCAGTAAGCTGCAGCAGTGAGCTAGGACAAATTGTCCTGAGAATCACCTCTACGTAGCAACGATCCAGTTCAAGGCTTGTCAAGGAAGGCAGCTGGGAGATGCAATCCGGGAGGAAATCTCCGGAACCATACGACCTGTCATCCTCCAGAAATCCATAATCGTCCTCTGGAAACCCCAATCTGTTTGCGTCAGTTATGCAGAGCACCTTGAGAGCCGTGAGGTGACAGAACCCTTCTGGCAGCTCCCAGAGATCAAAGCAATTCACCAGATAGAGTGCCAAAAGAGTCGTGAGATGGCAGAAGGAAGGAGAGAGACGGGTTAAACCCATTGATTCCAGCACCAGCAATTTGAGGGCAGGCAGCTGACCAAAGCTGTCGGGTAAGGTAAATTCGTCAATAAAACTAAGGATGAGGGTTTCCAAATGGCACAGAGAAGTGATACTTTCAGGCAGGGTTTCCAAGTGATAACACTGGCGAATAGTCAGTTTGCGAAGGCACGGCAGCATCTCTCCAAAGCAATTAGGAAGGCTCTGCAGCCCATTGCACTTGGTGATGAGCAACTCCTCTAGCCCGGTCAAGGGCGATGCTGCTGGGAAGATGGTGTTCAATTCAGGACAAGAGATCAAGAATTGGAGCGATTTCAGGCAGGACGGCAATGCGACCCTTGCAGCATCCGCTGGCTGGTTCTGGTGAGGGGCGAAGGTGGAAAGGTGGGTGAGTCTTGGGAGGTGAAGGAGGCTGGACAGATGCTGAAAATTCCAGGCAAAGGTGACATGGAGGGCGGTAAGAGCTGTAAGGTTTGTGAAACGCGGATTCTCCAACACCATTGCGTTATTGACAACAACAGTGTGCAGATGTCTCAGCTGGAAGAATGAGTGTGGTAGCTCTGTTGCTGGGTGGAGGCAGAAAAGAGAAAGCTGCTCCAAGCGAGGGAGCTTCAGGATCAAGTCATCCAAGCCATCCGTGGTTATCGAATGCTCCTCCTTCCTGCGATACTCCTTGACTGGGTGGACGTCGCCCTCCTTCGGTGGCCATGCAAAGCTCCTTCCTACGTGGAGGCTCGTCAGGTTCGGGCATGCAGCAGCGAGGTGAGCGAGGAAGGCGTCGTCGATGGTCTCGACGCTGTTGTCGCTGAGATGCAGATGGGTGAGGTTGGTGAAGCACGCGACGGCAGCTGAGAGATCTTCGAGAGACACTACGAGGTCTTCTTTCACGAGCAGCGAGGTCACGTGAAGCTTCACTAGTCGTCGCCAACGACCACAGACGGATGCAATGAGAAGATTTCGAGCCACGTCTGAGTCTGGAAGAGAGGCTGGTAGTGCCGTCTTGACTATCAGACGTGCTATGGTACTAGCGTCATGACTGATGGGTGACCAAACGTAACTGGACGTCCACAAGCTATCTATGCAGGACTCGCACGAAGCAGATTGTTTGAAGGATCGCCTCAGGATCTCAAAGAGAATGTCGTCGGGCAGACTGTTTATGTTCGTAGGCTCCATCCTAGGAATCTAAAAATAAGAACTTGGCTAAGGAACGACATGAGTTAAGAGGTGGATTCAAGACTTACGATGAAAAGGAATCAGCATACTCACAGGAGGAGTAGGTAGATACTAATGGAGTTGTTCCGAATCTTCGCTATAGGCTATATCTGTGCGATCTGGTCATGAGTGGGGAAATGAGAGGGGAATACGGGGGAGGACAAGGTTGACAAAAGGCATGGAACGTTGGGCGGGGTTTGGGAATTACGTACCAAAACTGCGTGGTACGGTGGTAGCTTTGGAGTTCCAAATTTGGCTGATTTGAGTGAGTCACCAATACCACCCAAACCAAACTGCCAAACCAGGGAAGGTGAGGCTGGGGGGGAATGGGAGTGTGATTTCTCCATCAAGCCTTCCGCCAGCCACCTCGGTCCTGCACCCACACAAACCAGCCTTCCCCCCCGCCTGGTCTCGCGGACACACCAGAGCTGGGTAGGGGCCTTAGCGAGCTTGGCGAACATTGTAGGCGCGAGAATGCTTGCGAGGGATTGCTGATGTGTGGTGCGATGGCCTTGACGAAACCAAATCCTACCTGGCGAATTTCGCTTCTCCTATCATTTCCCCCCCAAAGCAACCAGGCTTCGTCCCTTATGAAAGCCGAACCTGTCTGGCCTGACTGAGGTGTAGGCTCGGAAGAGCCTAGCTCCTCCACCGCGCAGCAATAACAGAACCTGGTTTCGTTGGTTTGGTACAGGGAGATTTCAGAAATCCGAAGTTCTGACCAGCTCGTCAATGCCTTGCTTGCTGTGGCGGCTCAGCCTTTGTCAGCTCGAATAGGAAAAGGAAAGCTTTTTGGCTTCTCGTACATTCGATTCGAATGCGTCGTAGACTGTCACTTCCGTGTGAGTCGAAGCTTACGGGACAGTAGGTGTATATCCTTGGTGTTGCCTCGCAATCTAGGCCGATTCTCGAGCCGCCTGTTCCTGATAAGTGTACGGTAGTGTGACACACGTCTTCTTCGAGCCGCGTACAGGGGCTTACATAATCCCCCTTGACGATTTTTTTACTTTCTTTCTTCCTGGTCACGAGACACTAAGTTCAATCGCATCCCTATTGCTGATTCGCGTATCAGTAAATCCCGAGCTGATCATGAGCGCGACTGTGGGCCTGTGGCTAGACTGGCAGCATCGCTGCCTCTGCGACACATCGCAAATTGTATGGTGAACGGAAACCACAAGCGATCTCCATCTTCGAGCAAAGATGAATATGAAAATTCGAAACCCGGCTTCAGCTTGCGACTGGAAAGACGGCGGAAATGTGGATTTAGGAGTCGGATCATGCGCCCGAAGGTGGATCATGCGCCCGAAGGTGGATCATGCGCCCGAAGGTGGATCATGCGCCCGAAGGTGGATCATGCGCCCGAAGGTGGATCATGCGCCCGAAGGTGGATCATGCGCCCGAAGGTGGATCATGCGCCCGAAGGTGGATCATGCGCCCGAAGGTGGATCATGCGCCCGAAGGTGGATCATGCGCCCGAAGGTGGATCATGCGCCCGAAGGTGGATCATGCGCCCGAAGGTGGATCATGCGCCCGAAGGTGGATCATGCGCCCGAAGGTGGATCATGCGCCCGAAGGTGGATCATGCGCCCGAAGGTGGATCATGCGCCCGAAGGTGGATCATGCGCCCGAAGGTGGATCATGCGCCCGAAGGTGGATCATGCGCCCGAAGGTGGATCATGCGCCCGAAGGTGGATCATGCGCCCGAAGGTGGATCATGCGCCCGAAGGTGGATCATGCGCCCGAAGGTGGATCATGCGCCCGAAGGTGGATCATGCGCCCGAAGGTGGATCATGCGCCCGAAGGTGGATCATGCGCCCGAAGGTGGATCATGCGCCCGAAGGTGGATCATGCGCCCGAAGGTGGATCATGCGCCCGAAGGTGGATCATGCGCCCGAAGGTGGATCATGCGCCCGAAGGTGGATCATGCGCCCGAAGGTGGATCATGCGCCCGAAGGTGGATCATGCGCCCGAAGGTGGATCATGCGCCCGAAGGTGGATCATGCGCCCGAAGGTGGATCATGCGCCCGAAGGTGGATCATGCGCCCGAAGGTGGATCATGCGCCCGAAGGTGGATCATGCGCCCGAAGGTGGATCATGCGCCCGAAGGTGGATCATGCGCCCGAAGGTGGATCATGCGCCCGAAGGTGGATCATGCGCCCGAAGGTGGATCATGCGCCCGAAGGTGGATCATGCGCCCGAAGGTGGATCATGCGCCCGAAGGTGGATCATGCGCCCGAAGGTGGATCATGCGCCCGAAGGTGGATCATGCGCCCGAAGGTGGATCATGCGCCCGAAGGTGGATCATGCGCCCGAAGGTGGATCATGCGCCCGAAGGTGGATCATGCGCCCGAAGGTGGATCAGCTCCCCATCCCGCTCCTTCTGCATTAAGACAGAGAACACACAAGAGGAAGTTAGTAGGTGGATCATGCGCCCGAAGGTGGATCATGCGCCCGAAGGTGGATCATGCGCCCGAAGATGGATCATGCGCCCGAAGGTGGATCATGCGCCCGAAGGTGGATCATGCGCCCGAAGGTGGATCATGCGCCCGAAGGTGGATCATGCGCCCGAAGGTGGATCATGCGCCCGAAGGTGGATCATGCGCCCGAAGGTGGATCATGCGCCCGAAGGTGGATCATGCGCCCGAAGGTGGATCATGCGCCCGAAGGTGGATCATGCGCCCGAAGGTGGATCATGCGCCCGAAGGTGGATCAGCTCCCCATCCCGCTCCTTCTGCATTAAGACAGAGAACACACAAGAGGAAGTTAGTAGGTGGATCATGCGCCCGAAGGTGGATCATGCGCCCGAAGGTGGATCATGCGCCCGAAGATGGATCATGCGCCCGAAGGTGGATCATGCGCCCGAAGGTGGATCATGCGCCCGAAGGTGGATCATGCGCCCGAAGGTGGATCATGCGCCCGAAGGTGGATCATGCGCCCGAAGGTGGATCATGCGCCCGAAGGTGGATCATGCGCCCGAAGGTGGATCATGCGCCCGAAGGTGGATCATGCGCCCGAAGGTGGATCATGCGCCCGAAGGTGGATCATGCGCCCGAAGGTGGATCATCCGCGCGAAGGCGGATCACGCGCACGAAGGCTTATCATGCGCGCGAATGCTGATCGTGCGAGTGAAGGCGGAGGATGGGTTCTCATAAGGCGGAGGCGGAGAAGAACGGCAGAAACTGCGTGCCCTGTAGCAGGCGACGAAACGGGCGGGGACACCGGCAAGCAGCGCCAGCGGCGTTGGCAGTGGCAGTGGCGGCGGCTGGGAGAGCGGGAAGGAGGGCGAGGGGGCGGTGAAGGGTGGAGTGCTGAAGGGGCTGGCGGGCAATCATTGACCCGCTCGATCCCACCCAGGTGAGACGCTCTGAGGGATGGCGACTCGTGCTTGGAGACTGGTGAAGGGGTGGGTGAAGGAAGGGGGGTTTGAAGGGAGGGGGGGTTGAAGGAAGGGAGGTTGAAGGGAGGGGGGCTGAAGGGAGGGGGGCTGAAGGGAGGGAGTGGGGCTGAAGGGAGGGGAGTCGAAGGAAAGGGAGAGAGGGGGGGTGAAGTTGATGTGTGTGAGAGGGGCGACCTGTGAGAGGCAATGAGTGAGAGGCGATGTGGTTTGGAGCATTGTCCGGCAACACACCCTTCCCGGCCACCCATGCCCCCCTCCAACCACGCTCTGCTCCTGCTTGCTATCTCAATGCCCTCCCCGCACCCACTCGCACAGCCACACTGCTTGCCAATGCGCCACCTCAGGACCATCTCGAACCCTCCCCTTACCACCTTTCCTTACTCTTACGCACTCCCCTTTCACTTTGGGGATCCCCCTCCTTTACCCACTCCCCTTCCCCTTACCGCCTTTCCTTCACGCAGCCCTCTCCTCCCTCCCCCTCCCCAGCTCAGGCTCCGCCGTGACCCATCTCCCGCCACTCGTCCTCGTGGAACCACGCGGGCCGAGTGGAATGGGGGGGTGCCACCAATGGGTGGCCGTGTTCGAAGGCATATGACAAGCTGGGTATTGTCAAGGTGAAATTCGGTGGGGGTCGGGGGAGAATGGTGTAGGAAGGAATGTCTCGAGTTTCTCGAGTCACTTGTAGGCGACGGGTGGGAAGGAGGGCAATTGTTTAAAAAGCTGGATGTCACCCACGTGGGAGTTCCTGAGAGTCGGTGGTGGGGGTTCGCCATGCTTGCATGCATGGGAACACCCGAACGGTTAGAACTCCCTCTACCTAGCTAGCTCCGAATAAGGATAGGTGTTACCCTCGGAGCATACTCTCTTATCCTCATCAGCTATTGGAAGCTACTAGAATCCAGCAAGGCATGGCATCGAGGCGCTATGCCAAGATGCCATGCTAAAAGCTTGGCGACGCGGGCTTTCCTTACAAGCCGCGCTTCTCTTCTCGTAGCATAAATACTACTTCTGAGATCTTGCTTTTATCATTCCGTATTTTTCTAATCCTACTCTTGGAATCTATCTTCTCACTTCTCTCGTCTACGTCTCTTGGAGCTAGGCCTCCTCTCTCTCTAGCCTAGCTTCTCTTATTCCGCTGCGATCACTCTTCTCTTTCTAGCTACGACGCCTCTCCTTGGGCGCTAGGCCGGCCAGGCCAGCCGCGCCGTGCGTTGCTGCGCCGTAGCCCTGTTTCAGGTGGGGAGTCGCTGCGAGTGGCTGTGGGATGGGTGTGAGAGTGAGTGGAGGGAGGTGATGGGCCGGCCTGGTGAGATGAGAATGTGGTTACAACCGAGGTGGGATTTATCGTTTCCCCATCTCATCCCCTCCCTTTCTTTCGCTCTCAATTCCTGATTTCTTCTTCCCACCCGTCCCCCATTCGCATCCCCCTCCATCCCATCCATCCAACCTCGCCTGTGTTTTCTCGATCAACACTCGCTGATATGAGCCCCTACTGCAGAAACACGTTACTCACCAGGTCACTATCCCTTATTCTCCCCTCTCTTCTTCCGCTAAGCCTCTCTTCGCCTTTCCCCCCATCCCCCCCTCCCCCCAATTCACAGACTCACGCCCTTCCACACTGTCCCCGTATCCCTCTCATAAGCCACTGCGGATTGACCTCGTTTCCCCTCCCCCCTCTCCCCTTAAAGCCAGGATCTCAAGTAGTTCAATTGTTTTGCAGTTGGTGAGGGGAGCTGGGCTGCGATTGGTTAGCGAGGTGAACAATCTGACGAGGTGTGAAGCGAGGGGTGCGAAGTAAAGACAAATCGCAAGTTCAGTCCGAACCAAGCAAGGCTCGGAAACTGGTTCGGTGACGAAGCTCCAATGCCTGCAATTTCTCGTCACACACAACAATCTCATGTACCAGCAAAATGTTTTGCATTTGCTCTAGGGGCAAAATCGTGGGTGTGCCGCACGCTCACTTTCCTAACCAGCCAGTCAATTCGCCTACAAAAATAGGGTAACAAGCGCTGCAAGTATTTTGCAATTGAAGGCCAATTCTCTTACTTGAGATCCTGGCTTTAAGCTCTACCCCCGCTTCTCGTACACTCACATTTGTGCCACTCTTGAGGCGACTCAAAAGTCACTCACATGTTTGGGCCCACAGATAAGCCCCCCACGCCTGAGCTATTGCACGGACTCCACCCCCCACAGCGCGCTCGCACTCCACCAATGCCCGCACCATCCCCTCCCTTCCTTCCCCATACCCTCTCCCCAACCCCCCTCTCCTACCCCTCCCATCTCTGCACGTGCTTCTCCGACACCAATGTCTGCCTCACAAGTTCTCTACCTGCAGTGGCGGTGCACTGCTCACCCCCTTACTCTCCCTTGTCCACCTCCCCCAACGCATTCCACGTCTTAACACCAGCTCCGACCCTGCGACTCCCATGCCAATGTCACACCCACGAATTTCTGCCCCCACAGCCCTCACCCAGGCTCTGTCCGTTACCCCCCCCTTCCCACCCTCCTTCATCCTCCCCCCCATCTTTCCACCAGCTCTGCACCGCACCTGCTTCTCCTGCACCGAGTTCCGGCCCATATATCCCGCCCTTGCAACTCGAGCGCACTGTCACGGGCAACCTGCGGGGTGCTGGTTGCTTCCGTGACAATTTTGCTTCTCAAAGACAAGCAACGAGAAAAGCAGGTGTGCGGGACGTTACGGGATGGTTGCTTAGTCCGGTATTCCTCTTCCCCTTCTCCCCTCCCCATCCCCATCCCCGTCCGCATCCCTATCCCCTTCCCCTTTTCCATCCTCTTCCCCTAACTCGCCCCTCCCCTGGTGTTCATTATCCAGTCGAAAGCAAGCAAGCGCCACTTGCCGTCGCTACACTCACACATTGGTCACTCATCACCATCCTTGTGTTCCCCTTTCCCCTCAACCACCAGTCTCACGTGCATAGTCCAGCCAGTAGCATCCATTTCCTGATCGGCAATCACTCATCACCCGCCCTATTTCCTCTCTACCCCTGTCACCCATCCGGTGCCTAGTTCTACCGGTGGTCCCCCCTACTCGCCTCTGTTCTCAACTCACCCCCTTCCCCTTCCCTTCTCCCTTTCCCCGTTCCCGCACCCTTCTTTTCACCACCTCTTCAGCTGTGCATAGTGCAGCCAGTACCGCCCATCTCGGCTGTCTCTCCCTCACCAACCTCACCAGCTCCTCCCCTTCCCCCTCATGCTGTTCCCCCTCCTCCGCGCCCACTCTCCCCCCTTCACTCCTATCACTTCTAACCCTTGCTCTTCTAACCCTTCTCCACTACTCTTCACCCACCCTCCCTTTCCCCCTCCCCTCCCCTCAAGCTCCCCGCCCCTTCCCACTCCCACTCCCCTCCCCCCTCCCCCCAGAGCATCTCAGGCAGTGGGGCTGTGCGCCTGCAGTACCTGCACCGCCACATGCTGCTGCCGGGCATCTCCAAGGCCACCCTGCTGACACCTGGTCGCGCGTGCGTGATGCGCCCCGGGCCACAGCAACGGCACCGGCTCCCTCCGGAGTCCCTCCACCTGCACCTGCCTTCCTCGCGCACCGCGGAGCGCTCACAGCTGTCGCTACTGATGCATTGTCGGGGAAGGCAGCATCAGCGCGCGCATGAAGCAGTGGCGCAAGGCGGAGATCTCACATCCACGTGCCGTTGGGTTGGGCCAGCTGCCGCCCGAGTCCACCTTGAGAGACCCCGCCTGTGTCGGCACAGCATGATGTTCCGCCCGCTCCGTGCGCCAGCCCTCGCTCCCCCACTCCCTTGCCTCCAAGGCTAATGCTGCGGCTCGGGCAACGTGACCCTGGGGAAGACAAGCGAGGGATGGAGGGGGATGATGAGGAGGGTGAGGAAGAAAGCCGTCGAAGAGGCAAGAAGAGGAAGATGAGCATTGTTGAGATTGGAAGGAAGGCGTGCGGAGAGACATGCGTGCCACAGAGGAAGGGGGAGGAGTCGAGTAAAGGAAGGGAGGATGGGAAATCATCATTACTGCCGCTTGTTCCGGCTTGGCTTTGTTACGATATGAAACTGCATGAGTAGGCATTCCTGTATGCTGCAGGAGCCGACTCTACCGAGTACGAAGTCGAGGAGTCAGAAGAGTCGAAGCGACGCAGCAACCGTCTGACCAAGACCGATGCTGGCATAAACATTTGAAGTGAAAAGAGCGGGAACAGGTTCGGAACGGGTTCCCGCGCCGCACGGTTTGAATTCGGCTGCAATAAGGGAATGTACCCCTTAGAGTACATGGCTAGTCTAGGTCTTTTCGTATTCCCCTGTATTCTTATATAAACTCGATGTATGCATGCTATTATCAACTCAGTCATTTACATTCACTCTGACCTGAGATTCAAACTTCCGCTGCAACACTACTCTGCGATCAACCCTGAGCGATCCTTGGCTAAAGTCCCCCTTGGGATTGTAACATGGTATGAGAGCAACTCAGGGATTCTTCGCAACTTCACTTCCGTGAAATTCGCCGAACCAAGATTTGGCGAGCGGCACACGCTCCAAGACCAAGATGGCCGGAGGATCCGGAGGCCAAGCAAATCTGACGGCTGAAGGACAATCCAATCCGGCTGCGACAAATGAGGCGACAACCACGATCGGCACTGCCGCCCTCGAGCAACTTTTCGCTCGACTTTCAACTATGGAGAAAGAACTCCAAGATCTGCGCAAAGGCGATGCGGGAACCTCTTCCCAACCAGCACAACCTGGACAACCGGCTGAGAAAAGCCGTGATACCGCCGCGCATACCTTCTCCCTCGACACAGACAAATCAACAACAACTGCCCCCCGTCCAAGTGATGAGGCTATCAACTCTGCGCAAACACGCTTCCTCAGCGTTTCAAACATCAAAACTACTGCCGCGTTTGACGGCAAGGACTTCTATACATGGAGTTTTGAGCTTGAGCTCCTCCTACAAACGGCGCAGATCTACCATTACTTCGACGGCTCCTATCCTAAACCGGTGGAAAACACCGAAGTCGCCAGGGCTCAATACTACAGTGAGTCTCTCATGGCCTACAGTGTGCTGCTACGCAACATGACGCCTGCGGAACAACTCAACATCCGCTCCTACAAAGAGAGCGACGCTCCAGCCTTGGAAGCTTGGAAGCATCTCGTTGAAGTTTATCAGCCGAAGGATTCGGTCACCGCCAGCAGGCTTCTGCAGCAACTCCTGGAGATAAAAATGGGGCACGGGGAGAAAGCGAATCCTTATAGCAACCGCTGTCGTAACATCCGTGACCAGATCACGAAGCATGGGAGTACGATCTCGGAAGAGATCTTCGTCAATATAGTCCTCCAAGGACTCGGGCCTGAGTGGAAGCCCTGTAAGGCGTTACTCCGACAGCGAGGAACAATCTCAGAAGCCGCGCTATGCGCCGCACTCCTGTCCGAACAGCAGGACATGGACTCGAGCAGAACAAGCTCCGCGCCGCGCCGTGAGCGCCTCGCCTTCTACGCTGACAACCGTGAAGAGGGACGACAACCAAGGCGCCATTATTGCAAAATATGCAAAGTCTTCGGACACTCAACGGATCGATGCAAATCCCGATCCAACCATCGCCACCCAAATTCCACTCAGCACAACAACTGGGTCGGCCGACAAGATGCTCGTCATCCCCAGTCTCAGCAACAGACACCTCGTCCTCCTGCACAACACCAGTATCAGCAAGGAGCTCAAGGACCTTCATCAGGAGCCCCCAGAAACATCATCGCGAACATGACGACGCGCCGACGTCGCTCTGATGAACCTGACGAGGAAGACGAGATCCAAGGAAGACTCCTTGAACCAGAAGAGGGATGGAATAACCCCCTCACTGAAGACTACTACTACCAGTATGACGAAGACGAGCAGGATTGGAACCTGCCAATCACCTTGCGGGAAAGCCCGCCGCATGACAATCAACACTACGTACCAGTTGGATGGAAGGAGGACGAAGACCCTCACTTCCACAGGCGCTACAAGGCAACCCTGGTGACTCCGCGATTGGCGCTGCTCCTGCGCCAGAGCAATACCGACAACTACAACACCTGGTACCTGGACAGCTGCTGCGGACAGCACATGGTGGGATCTACGCGCTACGTTTCAAACCTGAGCCGCGCCCCCGCAACCTACGTCACCGTTGCCAACAACGAGCATTTGCGCGCCAACTCACAAGGCATTGTCATCCTGCAAGCACGAGACATCAACACACACATCTCATTCAACGACGTGCTCTACGTTCCGAATCTCCGCTTTAATCTGCTCTCGGCTGGACAACTTCGCGACTGCGGCATCATTCTCACCACGGACCTCGTCACACGGGATCTCATTCTCACATACGCTCCGCCAGATACCCCTCCCGAATCATTCAAGTATCTCGGACGAGCCCGCTCCATCAACGGGATCTATGTCCTGGACTTCGACGTACCACCTTGCCAAGCGTCATCAGACGAGCTCGTGGACCTTGTTCCCCTCGAGTTTGCCTACACAAGCGGACGGGAGCACCCGGACGGACGACCATGGGTTCGCCGTAGTCCATATCCCCGCGAGATCAATCTGCACGACCCTGACATCAACGGTCTCTGCACCACCTGCCACACGCCCACCGCGAGTCGCACGGAGCAAGTCGAACGAGAGCAAGCGGCAATTCAGGAAGCAGAAAGTGCCGAGGCAGAACCTACGGGCATGACGCAAGAAGAGCTTGCTGTAACAACTCACCGCATTTTCGGTGAACCAAACGACGACTTCGGGCAGCTTCGCGCCGAACGACCAACACCATATGCAGAAACGCTCCGGTTCGTCCTAGAAGCCAACACCACTACCTTCGACGACGATGGACGACCACGTCCCTACACCCGCGAAGTCTACCGCCGCGAAATTGACACAGCTTGGAAAGACCCTGACGCACCAGAGGAGCTCAGCGTCAAGGAAGAACAAGACAAGGCCCGGGCAGAAAAGAAACAGAAATTGTTTGAGGAACGTGTCGCGGCTAGATGGGACGAGGAGACAGCACGTCGTGGCGCATGGGGATATGAAGATTACGAACCAGAAGAAGGCGACGGAGCAACCTGGGGATCCGCCACTGGAGCATGGGGAGCCAGCGCCAGCGGTACGGTCAACACAGAAGGATGGGGCAACACCGGCGGATGGGGAGGAAACGAATACGTGGACGGCCCAATTACCAAAGACGAAGAAGAAGAGATGGAACGCGAGATGCAAGCTGAGCGTGGAGAAGCATCTCCTCGCGTCGCCATTCCACTCGGTCGACCCCCACGCACTCGCTCACCTCCTTCCTCTCCTTATCGGTGGCGCAATCCTTGGTCGAAGATTGAGGAGGGGAACGTACCGCCAACTCCTCCGCGGGACTCACTTGGTCCAATCTCCCGCCCAGATCCATTTGCTCGGCTGATCGAAGGCACCACGACCCCGCTCACTATCATCCGCGACCGTGAATTCCTCGCGCTTTACCTCACAACGGCACCTGCAGAAGGGGAGGCAACGGCAGAAGCAGAAGCAGAGGAGCCGGCAAGCGAAGCAGAACCAGGAGAAGAGGAAGAACCCCCACTCCAGATCCCGCAATTCACGGCGGAAGAAGAAGCAGAACATCACACCCGTTACAAGCGCACTTCCGGCATCCGCGCCGAAGACGATCTGTGGCACCAGCGGATGGGACACCCCTCGCGCCAGACTCTCGCCAACTGCCTCCGCGCCAAAGTTTTTCCGCCAGGAGCACTGCTGCGCCCCGACGGAACAGAGTTACAGCACACCACCCCCCATCCAACCACTTGCACTGTCTGTCCCACAGCTGCGCTCTCCCACAGCGCCTATCCCTCTCTGGAGCCGAGCACCAACCGCTACAAAAAGCTGGAGAAAGTTTACAGCGACTTCATCGTCCTCACCCACGACGGCATCAACGGCGAGAAGTATACTCTCACCTTCATTGATGCCTACTCACGCCATGTGTGGATAGCCAACGTTGACGCCCGTTCCAAGGCTCCGGAGGTGTTCCGCATCTTCCTCGCGCACGCGCAGCGACAGTCGGGGCGGAAACTGAAGATCTGGCAGAGTGATGGGGCAAAAGAATTTCGCAGCAATGTGCTGGAGAGTGTCCTCACCGAGAAGGGGATTAAACACGAGATTTCCCTCCCCTATGCTCACCAGCAGCAAGGCGTCGCCGAGAGGGTCAACCGCACGCTCATGACCAAAGTCCGCACCATCATGAACCAGTCCGGCCTGCCAAAGACGTTCTGGCCTTACGCCATGAATCACGCGGTGCGCCTGTACAACCTACTTTCCACCACCGCCAACAGGGATAACCTGTCCCCTCACATGAAGTGGACCGGCTCAAGGGGAGACCCCTCCATGCTAAGGGTTTGGGGGTGTGTGGTGCAATACCGGCCGACCTCGGCAACAATCGGCAAGTTCGTTCATCGCGCGCGCTGGGGCATTCACTTGGGCCTCAGCAATGAGCACAAGGGCTGGCTCATCTTCGACATGGACAGTAAGGAGATTGTTCCCGCGCGAGATATCCTCTTCTACGAGTGGCTCACCTTGAAGCAGTGGATCGAAGACGAGCGGCGCAACGAAGCACGCGGCTATGTCAACCACGGTCGCAGCTTCGCGACTCCAGAAGATGCAGCAGCAGCAGCAGCACTGGACCGCGACGACACCGACGAACATACCAGCATCCCACCTCGCCCTCGCGACGACGACGACGATGACAGCGATGATGGCCCCGCGCCAGGACCATCACGGCGCCAAGCAGAGCCAAGCACCGTAGCACCCGGCTATGAGAGCGGAGATGACGACGTGGTGGAAGTCCCCACCAACACAGACACCACCAATGTGTCAGGCCTTCAACTCCTCGGCCTACACACCTCCGTCTCTACCCTCGCACGGGCCGTGGAGCCAAAGAACCCTCGGCAGGCCCTAACCGGCCCTCACGCCAAGGAATGGCGTGCTGCGATGGATGCGGAGCTCAAGGCGCTGGAATCACGTGACACCTGGGTCCTAGTCGATCGTGCAGCAGTGAAGGGGAGGAGGGTGCTCAGCGGGAAGTGGGTCTTTCGCCTGAAAACCAACGCTGACGGCACTATCGAGCGTTTCAAGGCACGCTGGGTCGTACGCGGGTACGATCAGCGCCATGGCATCGAGTTCGATCAAACCTTCGCTCCCGTCAGTCGCCACACCTCAGTTCGGATTCTACTCGCTATTGCCGCCGCGAAGCACCTACCACTGCGACAGATCGACGTGAAGAACGCATTCTTGTACGCGTTGGTGGATGCCACCATCTTTGTGGAGCAGCCGCACACCTACGGAGAAGGAGATCCCAGGGTCTGTCAACTGAAGAAATCCCTCTACCGGATCAAGCAGGCGCCTCGCCTCTGGCAGCAGCATCTGCACAAAATCCTCCTTCAAATCGGCTTCAAACAGCTCCCGCACGACCCGGGAATGTATCGCCTTCACTTCAGCGACGATTACATCCTCCTGACAGTCTACGTCGACGACTTGCTGTACACGGGCACCTGCAACAAACTCCTCGATCAGTTTCAGGAGAACCTGGCGCAGCGCGTGGACATTACCATCAACCTCGAAGTGAAGCAGTTTTTGGGGTTAAACATCACTTACGCGCCAGAAGCAATTCACCTGTCAGCCTCCAAGTACGCGGAACAGCTAGGGGAACGCTTCAACATCTCCCCGGCACCGCTCTCAACTCCTTATCGCAACCCCAGCACCAACTACAAACCGGACAACAAACCTCTGTCGCCCGCAGGACTCCAAATGTATCAGCAGAAATTGGGGTGCCTGCTATTCGCCTCTGTCACCTGCCGACCCGACCTTTCGTACATCGCCAGCCAACTGGCGCAGTACTCCCGCAAGCCAGTAGCTGAGAACCAGCTGGACCTGGAACGCGCCCTGCAGTACTTCATCTCCACTCCTGACATTGGGCTCTCCTACTCCACGCTGACGACCACCTCCTTCAACCTCAACGGCTACGTGGACGCAGATCATGCAGCTGATCTTGCAAATCGACGGTCCCGAACCGGCTTCGTTTTTCGCCTGGAACCAACTGGGCCAATCTCCTGGAACTCGCAGAAGCAGGAGCTGGTTGCCCTGTCATCGGCTGAAGCAGAGTACATCGTCGCGACAGCAGCAGTTCGCGAAGGCCTGTACCTGCAGGAGCTGCTACAGGAGGCGAAAATTCCAACTTCGCCCACCTTTCGCCTTCACTGCGACAACTAGAGTGTCATCAGGATCGCGAACAAGCCAGGTTTCGTGAACCGCACGAAGCACATCGCACTCCGGTATTTTTTCGTCAAGGACGAAATTGACCAAGGGAAAGTTGACCTCGCCTACTGCCCGACTACTGAGATGGCAGCAGACTTCCTCACCAAGCGCCTGCCACGTCAGCAGTACAAGCACTGCTCTGACCTCACCGGAGTAGTCAAGCGAGTCAGCTCCTCCTGCGCCCAGGAATGAAGGGGAGTGTTACGATATGAAACTGCATGAGTAGGCATTCCTGTATGCTGCAGGAGCCGACTCTACCGAGTACGAAGTCGAGGAGTCAGAAGAGTCGAAGCGACGCAGCAACCGTCTGACCAAGACCGATGCTGGCAGAAACATTTGAAGTGAAAAGAGCGGGAACAGGTTCGAAACGGGTTCCCGCGCCGCACGGTTTGAATTCGGCTGCAATAAGGGAATGTACCCCTTAGAGTACATGGCTAGTCTAGGTCTTTTCGTATTCCCCTGTATTCTTATATAAACTCGATGTATGCATGCTATTATCAACTCAGTCATTTACATTCACTCTGACCTGAGATTCAAACCTCCGCTGCAACACTACTCTGCGATCAACCCTGAGCGATCCTTGGCTAAAGTCCCCCTTGGGATTGTAACAGGCTTCAACAAAAAGGAGCAACGTACCAGTAAAAGGGGGGCATGAGATAGAGGCATGAAGAGTGGTGCACGAACACGGGAGTCCAGAGCAGTAGTATTGCTGACTTCTCTGCTTTTCAGAGTCAGTTTAGTATGGAAGTAGATGCCGCAGAGAAAAACGTGGCAGTTTGTCAGCCCTGCAACTGCCGTTGTAGATGGATGTGATTTTGGGCACCAGAAAGCATACGCACTACAATACCGTGAGCTCCCGCCTAGAAGACCCGGGGGTCTTATCCTAAATGTGCTCAAAATGGGCTGTGGGGTCTTATCTGATGGCATAGAGTGCATAAGACCCCCGGACATTTATAAATCACACAAAAATGGATTGTAAAGACCAGTATGGAAGAATTTCAATATTTTTTTTGCGAATTCGAGTACGGCTCAAAACGCGGAATTCTATCGCCACTCTCGCTTCGCGCACATCAATCGTTGCCACCAGGGCTCATTTTTTGTTTTGACCAACCCTTACGATCAGTCTAGCACATGTTCAAAAACCTGATTTTCAGGGTTACCCGTTGTGGAAAACCTGATGCGTCAGGGTTTTTGCATATATTAAAACGACTACCCTGAGGCATCAGTGTACCAATTCGCAAAACCCTGTTTCAGTTGTTCTTGTAACACAGCACACAATAACAAGCTCAATCATCATCATCAGACATGCCACAAGGTTGTTGCTCGTGGTCACTGTCCTCCTCTGGCTCCGGCACTTTCTCCTTGCCTCGAATGAAACTGTATTTCTGGCCAATGGTGGCCCACCTCGTTCCAGCACATGTAAAGTCCTGCCGAAATCTACATTTTCGACAGTTGGCAAAGGGAAAATCCTGGTTCCGGGGTCGGGTGGTTAGGGGACCGGGGGGGGGGGGGGGGTGGGAGTTCGCTGGTACGCGCTTCAGGGTAAACCTCGATAAGCGGAACGGCAACCCTGAGGCGACAGTGTTCCTTAATCTTAAAACCTGGCACATCAGGGTAAATCAAGGTCCCGAAAAATTTACCCAACAGCATCAGTGTTACTACCAAAAATCACCCTTCTAATCAGGGCATCAGGGTGATTTACACTGATAACGTGGGCCCTGGTTGCCACGCGTCACACCTCCTGTAATGCCCAATTGTGACAGGTACGTCAGCATTTCTCGCGTGACGGGCGGCAAAAGCGCATGATCGACGTGGCATCATGACTCCATTGACCACGAATTCGCCCACAACGTGAATCTGGTGTTTTTTTAATGTGACTCGCTAAGCACCTCTCGCTCTACTGCCTGCATCCGTACGAGTACCTCCCGGCTTCCCTCTCCAACCTCGCGCACCTGCGCACCCTCGGGCTCACCCACAGCTCGCCTCTCGAAACTCCGAGATTCACGAGACTGATGTCCCTCACCGCTCTCGCCGCCGACATTCCCGAGTACGAAGATATGAATCTCGCGAGGCTTGCTCATCTCCCGGCCTTCGCCACCCTCTCCTTGTCTAACAAGTTGTGGCTCCGACAAGGAGGCGTCGGCGCTCACCCTTTCTCGCTCGCGCACCTGCCGTCGCTGAAAGCGCTCGAGTTCGAACCCTGCAGCCCACCATTCGACCTTCTGTTCCCGCCAGAGTCCTCCTTCAGCAATCTCGAGCGACTCCTCCTGAAAGGCTGCGAAGGGCTGGAGCATCTTCCTGACGACATGGGAGAGCGGTTGCCACGCCTTCGGGACCTGAGCATCTGCGACTGCAAGAAGCTCTCCCACCTGCCCGAGCAATTCACCGCCCTCAGCTGCCTGGAGCAGCTCGCCATCTCCTCTTGCAGCATCGTTAGACTGCCCGAGAATTTCGGAATGCTGCCTGCCTTGAAGAAATTGTCGCTGCTGGACCTGCAGATTGCGCGTCTCCCCGAGTCCTTCCACCAGCTCGCCTTCCTGGAGGCTTTCCATCTGTCCCACTGCACTGCCCATTTCAGATTCCCTGCAGCATTCGGCGATCTCACAGCCCTCCGATCCCTCTACATTCCCATAGCACCGAACCTGATTCTCCCAGACGACATCGGCGGGCTCACCAACCTTCACACGCTCCATTTCAGCAGAAATTACCCGCAGGAGCTGCTGCCATCCTCCTTCATGCAGCTGACTTCCCTTACCAGGCTGGAGCTGGTCGACTGTGCGATAGTCCAGCTGCCAGGGGACACGGGGAGGCTGAGCAACCTGAGGGAGTTGACCATCCAGCTGTTCACGAGCATCACAGAGATCCCAGACTCCCTCACTGACCTCGTCAACCTTGAGGTTCTCAAAGTCCTCGGCTGCCGCAGCGTCTCCTCCTTTCCCACCACCTTGAGCAGCCTGGCACGGCTCAAGGAGCTGGCTCTCGCCAAGCTCCCCCAGCTGCCGCAGCTGTTGCCATCTCTGCCCCGTTCCCTTGAAATTCTCTCCTTGGGGACCTACCAGCGGCTCACGCCTTTTCTGGAAATCCCTGCTCTGCCTAATTTGAGGAGGTTGAGCCTGATCAGCGTTGCCTTCATGCGGGGGATGGTGGCTGGCATGGCGTTGCCTGCAGTGGAGCACGTGGAGCTGTCGCTGGTGGGCGAGGCAGAGGATCTCCCGCTGCCGCTTGACCTTGTCCCCAACCTCCGCAGCCTCAAAATCGCAAGTGCTGGGCGCCTCAAAAGCTTCCCGAAGAAGCCTGTTCCATTCAATATAATCTTCCAGCTCATGGATCGTCTGGAAATAAGGCTGTGAAGTTAAAGGAGCTCACAGAGAGTGTCACCGCGCTGCACTGCCTCACATCCATTGAGATCCATGCACCTGAACTTGCCTCCCTGCCGGATGGCATTGGCGCTTTATCCCGACTGCGCCAGCTGAATCTGGCCGGCTGCTCACCCATTGCAGCACTCCCGGCTTCTCTCACCCAGCTCTCCTGCCTGCACGACCTGAACCTTGCCTGCACCTCCATGCGCTCCCTGCCTTGCAACTTTGGGCTGCTGAGCCGGCTCAAGAACCTTGACCTGCATGGCTGTAGGAAGCTGGTTGCTCTGCCTGAGGATATCACCCAGCTTGAGATGCTTCACAGCTTGGATATTTCAGGGTGTGCTGATGACCTTGACACTGACTGTCTTTGTGAGATGCATGGACTACGTATTATTAGGACCTGTGACAACTAAAAGAAATAATGATGCTCAGGTGTTACTGAGGTTGGCGGATGTATCCAGAGTGCTAGAAATGGCGTCTTTCACTGCATATCAGCAGCTCGCATGTCTCTGCCCTTCACCTGCTTCCAGTGCACGACGTAAGGGGTCATGAGAACCAATGGTGACGCCACGCTGGGCCTTGGAAAATCAACAGTGCATGACGTGATTCTTGATGGGTGTGGTACCATGCCATAGTGTGTATTGGTCTGGTGAACTTATCATGGTTATATACAGACTGCCTAATGCTATATACAAATGCCCCATGCTGTACACAAATTCCCCATGCACCATGCTGTACACACATTCCCCATGCACCATGCTGTACACACATTCCCCATGCACCATGCTGTAAACACATTCCCCATGCACCATGCTGTACACACATTCCCCATGCACCATGCTGTACACACATTCCCCATGCACCATGCTGTACACACATTCCCCATGCACCATGCTGTACACACATTCCCCATGCACCATGCTGTACACACATTCCCCATGCACCATGCTGTACACACATTCCCCATGCACCATGCTGTACACACATTCCCCATGCACCATGCTGTACACACATTCCCCATGCACCATGCTGTACACACATTCTCTACCTTATGACGCCATCAGTCCCTGATCCCACCTGGCAGCTGAATCTCCCCACCTGCTCAGCTGAACCTGGTTCCGCTGTTGCAGGTCCCTTTGTAGATGGGCCATCAGCTGAATGGGCCATCAGCTCAGCCTTCACAGATGTTCTCACCACACCGCAATGACCCCCCTGCCTGCCTGCTCAGCCTTGCCCCTTAGCACAGCTGAGCCGCCTCAACAGTCCTGACCAGCGCTGTGGAGTCTCTGCCTGTGGATATCACCCACCCAGCTCAAGATTTTCGAGATCGCGGCACAGAGAAGGTGACTCCTACAGAGGGCCTCAAGTAGAACCACATGCTACCAGCCTGCTGCAGGGCGACCATGATTGCTCTCAGGGTCGCAGTGGTGTTCCCTAGTCGATCCTGTCCACGCAAAATGATGGAATGATGGGACGGACAGCACACACACAAGCACATGCACTCCCACTGACACTTGCGGTGTAAATGGGCAGGTGGGCATGTAGGTATATCAACAAGTGGATACCAGACAGAATACACCACATGTTATATCAAAGCACGCACTCTCCATGCCACCAGCCACAAACACCACACAAGCAGCACAACCATGGCACTGTCAAAGACATGTTATTGAATGCTAAATCTATTCTCCAGTGCGTGCAGTGCAAAAAGGTCCGACTGAAACCCCCGTAGAACCCTGACATGCTAGAGGTATGTGCATTGTACACGGTGAATGCTGGTGTGCCGTGGATTTTTCTGACAAGGGTTGGCGCCACGCACGTACTTCAATGCCCAGTGTTGCTTGGTATGCATTGTACCCTAGATACTCGGAGCTGACATACAAGATTTGAATCGAAGGCTGCGACTCGTCAGGAAGGCAAAGAAAGGGGAGACGAAGAGGGGAAGAGTGGATGGACAGCGGGAGGGGTTCCTATGGGGCTGGGCGGGGTGTGGCGGGACAAAGGAGTAGCATGTACCGTATATGTGATTGCGGAGATGGAGCGCGGAACGTTGTTTCCGGCCTGGTTGAGTGGGGGATATGATAGGAGTCGGGGGAAATAAGAGGATTGTGGGGTATGAGAGGAGTGGGGGAAATGAGAGGATTGGGGGGTATAAGAGGAGTGAAGGGTATGAGAGGAGTGGGGAGATTGAAGGGTTGATGGATTGGACCTGAGTGTTGGACGCTACCAGCTGCACTACGCACACCTGGGATAGGGGAACTGCAACCGGGACGGGCATGGGGACACGAATGAGAACGAGATGGGGGAGGCCCTGGGATGGGAATGGAGAAAGGGGTGGGGATGAGAATGTGAAAGCGGAAGGGGATGGAGGGGGGATGGGGAGTGACGACGGTTGCACTGTGCGCCCCTGGAGGTGATCTGAAGCAGCCGGGCCGATGGGAAAGAGTGGTGAGACTGGTGAGAGACCAAGGGATGGGGAAGGGGAGGGTGGAGCTGCCGCCTTGGATAACTAGCTAGCTCTGCCATAGAGAATTAAGGGACAGGGAATTCAGGGACAGGGAATTCAGGGACAGGGAATTCAGGGACAGGGAATTCAAGCACTGAGAGGGTATTCAGCCACATAAAACTCAGGCACAGAGAATTTAGGCACATGAAATTGAGGAATTGAGGCACAGAAAATTCAGTTACTGGGATAATATTTTTTAGGCACAGGGCATTGAGCAAAGACCTATGCTGCAATCTAGGGGTTGACTCAAACCTGCACAGGAACGAGAGGAACCGTCTGGTTTAGTTCGACTTAGAGTGCCGAGCCATGGTGAACCAACAGGGCTTTCACACACATGGAAAGCTGGACAGCCAGGGCAGGACTTGCGCAGATTTTGCTGAGATCCACGGGAGAGATATGCTGTTGCCGAGCTGGATCGGCTCGAAGCTCAGTGTTGGCTCGACTCGATCGAAGTTGTTCGAATCATCTCGTGGACTGGCTCGACTCAATTCCGGTACTTGCTCAACCCAAGCTGAGAGTGACCTGAGAGTGACCTGAGAGTGACCTGAGAGTGACCTGAGAGTGACCTGAGAGTGACCTGAGAGTGACCTAAGAATGACCTGAGACTAACCTGAGACTGACCTGAGACTGACCTGAGAGTGACCTGAGAGTGACCTGAGAGTGACCTGAGAGTGACCTGAGAGTGACCTGAGAGTGACCTGAGAGTGACCTGAGAGGGACCTGAGAGTGACCTGAGAATGACCTGAGAGTGACCTGAGAGTGACCTGAGACTGACCTGAGAGTGACCTGAGAGTGACCTGAAACTGACCTGAGAATGACCTGAGACTGACCTGAGAGTGATCTGAGAGTGACCTGAGAGTGACCTGAGAGTGACCTGAGAGTGACCTGAGAGTGACCTGAGAGTGACCTGAGAGTGACCTGAGAATGACCTGAGAGTGACCTGAGAGTGACCTGAGACTGACCTGAGACTGACCTGAGACTGACCTGAGAGTGACCTGAGAGTGACCTGAGAGTGACCTGAGAGTGACCTGAGAGTGACCTGAGAGTGACCTGAGAGTGACCTGAGAATGACCTGGGAGTGACCTGAGAGTGACCTGAGACTGACCTGAGACTGACCTGAGACTGACCTGAGAGTGACCTGCGGCTGACTTGCTACTGGACTTGGAGGAAGAACACAGCCGGCCACACTGCACCAAGCAGCCCCGCCAGCCTCGCCTCACCCGTGATCAACCTGCTCATAAGCAGCCAAGCCTACCACACCTCAGTCACTCACAACGCACCTCCAGTTCTCCCATTGCTTGTCCGTTGCTCGTCTTTCAGGAAGACCGCCCCCACGGGGCACCCAACAGCCTCACCCAGCTTCAATTTGCCTGCTGCCTCTCGCACACCTCTGCCACATCAGCAGCGTCTGCCTGGTTGGACAGTGCTCCCGTGCCGTAGGGGTGAGAGTCTGTGAAAGCACAAGCCTGTGTAGGAGAAGCAGGTGTGGAGGTGGGAGGGGCTGCAGGGAAGAGGGGGAAAGGGTGAACAGCACAGTGGGTGGTGAGAGGGACTGAGAGAGAGTGTCGTGGGGGTGGAAGTCGATGGTTCAGAAATCGGTCCAGGAGAAGGGCGGGGGGGGGGTGGAAAGGGGAGAGAAAGGGACAGCGCGTGGGTGGGAGCAGTGCGGCACCACAGTAGAGGCAGATTCGTGGGGCAAACGTCGGTGTAGGAGTGCGGAACTGGGGGAGGAAGGGGGGGAGGGAGAGGGGAGGGAGAGGGTATGAGGAGGGGAGGGGGAGTAGTGCCTTGGTGAAAAGTGTGCCTGCGCTGTGGGGGGTCGAGTCCGTGCAGTGAGACAGACGTGGGTATAGCAGCATATGAGAGGGATGTGGGGTGCAGTGCCTTAGGGGCATGAGCGGAGGAGGAACACTCACCTTACCCACTCCTACAACTGCCGCAAGACCGAGAATGAGCGGGAGGACATTGAGGGGAAGTGCATGGACGGGATAAGGCGATGAGTTGCCCAGTAGGACAGTCTAAAAGGTGTCGGAGGAAGAGTTCGGTGAGGTGGGTGAGAGAGAGGCGGTGCGTGATGGGTATGGGGAGAGAAACTGGCGATGTACAGAAAGGTTTGTTTCATAATCTGGTAAGTGATTGGGGTAGGTGTTGGCAGTTGAATGGGCCGGTGAGACTGCCAGGAGGGGCCACAGGGAAGTGCGAGTGATGTGGGTGAAAGAGAAGTGTTGAGTGATGGGGGGAGAAGGAAGCTATGTTGTAGAGTGTGGGTCCTTGTGAGCCCCACGTTGCCATCTTGGATGACACTGCGACAGGGCATTCGCAGGTCATGCAGCATGCACGGAGTGTAGAGCAGCTTAGAAATCATATGAACGCAATGCACTCATCCAGGTGGCATTCAAGCGGGGGCCATTCTAGAGGATGTCAGCGGCACTCGGTAAGCCCGTTGGAGATCATCGAAGGCTTTTCTGACCAGAGAACAACTGGAACAGTGCTGGCTCACTTGAGCGTCACGTGAGATTCACCTGAGAGCACGGCCACAGAGTCCTCAGCAGCCTGCTGTCCCAGCTAGGTTGCTAACCACAAGGATTCACCACAAGCAAGCAAGCGCCCGCCTCCTTCTGCTACTGCTTGTGAGGAACACAACCGCCACAGGGCACCCAGCAGCCCTGCCTGCCCAGCTTCGCCTGCAGTCTCTCCTGCCCTCTACACCCTCCCAGCAACACGCAGTTGCCCATGAACAGTGGCGCCGCACAAAAGGAGCATGAGTCTGTGGGGAAGAAGTCGGTGTAGGAGACACAGGTGCGGAGCTGGAAGGAGGCGGGGAAGAGGGTTGGGAGATGCAGGAATAGTTGAAGGGATGGTAAGATGCAGCTCGGCAACAAGAGCCCACCGAGTTCACGCAGAAAGCACTGAGCAGCCCGCAAGTTGCTTGTGAACAGTACAACCGTGATGCAGGGGTGAGAATCCGTGGGCCACAAGGCAGTGTGGAGAAGCAGGTGCGGAGCTGGGGAGGGGAGGTGGGGGAGGGGAGAGGGTGGGGAGGGTAAACAGCACAGCCAGCTTATGAGAGAAGTTTAATGACCATGCTGGACTGGAGCTGAGTATGGGAGTAGTAAGTGAAAAAGAGGTTGGAAGAAAAATAAGAAATTAAGAGGGGAGGGGAGGTAGTTGGAGGGGGCATGGGGGAATGAGTCTCACCTTGCCTACAACCACCTTCTTAACTCATCTGGCTTGCTCATCAGCTCCCTCCACTCAACTCACTCTCACGTTCATCCCACAGCCACTCGCAACAACTCCATGCCAACTCATCCCACATGGGAGATATCAACCTTCGTACTTGTCTCCACCACAGGGACTCTCCACCAACTCCTTGCCGATTCCCACATGCACACAACACAACATACGCGCACACCATTGAACATAACGGACGGTGCCCCAAACTACAGAAACTGTACCATGACTCGTCACACCTGATTGCAACTCGGAAGAAGTCGGCAACTCGCGTGGAGCCTCAAGACCCATGCTGGTTGCCATGAAGCATCTTCCGATAATACCCCTTGGTTTTGCAGTTGGCAAGCATAGCCGTCTGCTGTATTCACTAACACCCTTCTACCATTCCCGAGGCCCCCCTTCTGAATCTCGCCCCATCCCATCATCCATTAATCAGATTTCTTCACATACATCAGGGATCAGGACCAGGGCTAATTTTATCAGGGTAAATCACCCTGATACCCTGATAATCAGGGTGGTTTTTGACTGTCACACTGATGCCTTAGGGTAATTTTTTCAGGAGCTTGTATTTTCCTGATAGGCCAGGGTTTACGTTTAAGGTACACTGACGGCCCAGGTTTACCGATCTTCGTAACGAGCTTTACCCTGAATCGAGTACATCCCTGAAAAGAGGGCTGCCTTGGCTTCAGTCGGGAAGACAGCTTCGAGGGCCGCAAGCCTGTTCACCAGTGGGGGATCTGGTGCCCAGTCATGAGACAGCAGTGCGACAAGAGGGCTGTGAAACCCTCTGGGTGGGCAGTAGAGGATGCAGCAAGAGGGAAGCGGGGGTTGTACGAAGGCCAGACTGGATTTGTGGGGGTGTTCGGCTTGGCGGTAGAAACCTATGGTGCCCTAGCAAAGGACACCCAAAGGTTCCTCCGCCTCCTTGGGACCCAGGCGGCCAAGAAGAAGCACAAGTAGGGGAGGCTCACATCAGTCGCCTCCAAGCTCACGACTCACTACTGACAGCGCTGGTCGGTGATGTTGCAGCGCCGCCAGGAAACGCCCTGATGGCAAAGTCCAACAGAGCGGTTGCGGCGGTGTTCTCTCAGGCTGCAGCCGACCCGTGGGAACCCCGCCTCGGGGACCTGTGGCAGGTCCTGGAGGATGACCTGGCACAGGTGGCAGACCTGGAAGCGTAGACGGCCAGGACCACTCCCCAGGACCACTCCCCAGGACCACTTCCCAGGACCCGACCACCCATAATGCCCCTCCTTGCAGGCCACAGTAGGACTGGCATAACCCACCAGCAGATCGGTGTAGCATGTTTGCCTAGGACTTGTCTTGTATGTCTTGATATATGATGGAAAGCCTACATGCCTAGGTTAGCCTGCTTGCTAGGATCTGCCGTTGCAATGCCTGTACCTTCTTAATCACATCAATGCAAGTCTGCTTGAGAGAGAAAGAGAGAGAGAGAGAGAGAGAGAGAGAGAGAGAGAGAGAGAGAGAGAGAGAGAGAGAGAGAGAGAGAGAGAGAGAGCACGGCGTTTAGCCCGGTCGACAACAAGAAGGCCGACCTGGCCATTCGGGACAGAAGCAGTGGGGCGGTGTGGCTGGGTGACATAACCATCACCGACCCTACTAGCAAACGGGACGAGACTGCCAAGAAGGGACGGGGATGGGCAGCAAGGGAGGCAGCAGATAAGAAAATCGGGCTATACCACGGCAGGGCTGAATTTGCAGGCTTCTACCCGCTGGTAGTCGAGACCTATGGCTGCCCGTGCGATGAGGTGCAGGCTTTCCTGAAGCACCTGGCGGACAGAGCAGCACGCTTACACTTCAACGCGGACCCCTCAAGCTTCCAGGCCGCAAAGCTGCTGCACCAGTTCCGCCACAGGTGGTCAGTCGCCTTGCAACGGGCACAGGCAGTGAGTTTCCTCATCAAGATGAACCTGGCAGCCCAGAAGGAGAACCCAGCCTTAGGAGGCCCTGAGGGGGTCCTAGACCCGGGGGAGTGCTTTGCTACCCTAGAACCGGGCAATGGTAGCGAGTAGAAGACTTGGGGGGGGGGGGGGGGGGAGGGGAAAGGGGTAGAGAGGAGAATAGTTAGACATACCTGTTTGTTGCTTGCTTGCTTGACTTTGCTGTTTTCTCATTTCTATATCAATACAAAGGACCGTGAGAGAGAGAGAGAGAGAGAGAGAGAGAGAGAGAGAGAGAGAGAGAGAGAGAGAGAGAGAGAGAGAGAGAGAGACAGAGAGAGAGAGAGGCTTAGGATCTAGTCCTTAGCCTCTCCAGCCCTTCCTAGCTTAGTATATAGGCCCTAGGACCTAGGTGTGGGGCTCATTCTTCATTCTGTTCTCTGCATTCCTTCTCCTAACCCAGCGGCTATGGAGAGAGAGCGAGAGAGAGAGAGAGAGAGAGAGAGAGAGAGAGAGAGAGAGAGAGAGAGAGAGAGAGAGAGAGAGAGAGAGAGGCTTAGGATCTAGTCCTTAGCCTCTCCAGCCCTTCCTAGCTTAGTATATAGGCCCTAGGACCTAGGTGTGGGGCTCATTCTTCATTCTGTTCTCTGCATTCCTTCTCCTAACCCAGCGGCTATGGAGAGAGAGCGAGAGAGAGAGAGAGAGAGAGAGAGAGAGAGAGAGAGAGAGAGAGAGAGAGAGAGAGAGAGAGAGAGAGAGAGGCTTAGGATCTAGTCCTTAGCCTCTCCAACCCTTCCTAGCTTAGTATATAGGCCCTAGGACCTAGGTGTGGGGCTCATTCTTCATTCTGTTCTCTGCATTCCTTCTCCTAACCCAGCGGCTATGGAGAGAGAGCGAGAGAGAGAGAGAGGCTTAGGATCTAGTCCTTAGCCTCTCCAGCCCTTCCTAGCTTAGTATATAGGCCCTAGGACCTAGGTGTGGGGCTCATTCTTCATTCTGTTCTCTGCATTCCTTCTCCTAACCCAGCGGCTATGAAGAGAGAGCGAGAGAGAGAGAGAGAGAGGCTTAGGATCTATTCCTTAGCCTCTCCAGCCCTTCCTAGCTTAGTTTATAGGCCCTAGGACCTAGGTGTGGGGCTCATTCTTCATTCTGTTCTCTGCATTCCTTCTCCTAACCCAGCGGCTATGGAGAGAGAGCGAGAGAGAGGCTTAGGATCTAGTCCTTAGCCTCTCCAGCCCTTCCTAGCTTAGTATATAGGCCCTAGGACCTAGGTGTGGGGCTCATTCTTCATGCTGTTCTCTGCATTCCTTCTCCTAACCCAGCGGCGATGGAGAGAGAGCGAGAGAGAGAGAGAGAGAGAGAGAGAGAGAGAGAGAGAGAGAGAGAGAGAGAGAGAGAGAGAGAGAGAGAGAGAGAGAGGCTTAGGATCTAGTCCTTAGCCTCTCCAGCCCTTCCTAGCTTAGTATATCGGCCCTAGGACCTAGGTGTGGGGCTCATTCTTCATTCTGTTCTCTGCATTCCTTCTCCTAACCCAGCGGCTATGGAGAGAGAGCGAGAGAGAGAGAGAGAGAGAGAGAGAGAGAGAGAGAGAGAGAGAGAGAGAGAGAGAGAGAGAGAGGCTTAGGATCTAGTCCTTAGCCTCTCCAGCCCTTCCTAGCTTAGTGTATAGGCCCTAGGACCTAGGTGTGGGGCTCATTCTTCATTCTGTTCTCTGCATTCCTTCTCCTAACCCAGCGGCTATGGAGAGAGAGCGAGAGAGAGAGAGAGAGAGAGAGAGAGAGAGAGAGAGAGAGAGAGAGAGAGAGAGAGAGAGAGAGAGAGGCTTAGGATCTAGTCCTTAGCCTCTCCAGCCCTTCCTAGCTTAGTATATAGGCCCTAGGACCTAGGTGTGGGGCTCATTCTTCATTCTGTTCTCTGCATTCCTTCTCCTAACCCAGCGGCTATGAAGAGAGAGCGAGAGAGAGAGAGAGAGAGAGGCTTAGGATCTATTCCTTAGCCTCTCCAGCCCTTCCTAGCTTAGTATATAGGCCCTAGGACCTAGGTGTGGGGCTCATTCTTCATTCTGTTCTCTGCATTCCTTCTCCTAACCCAGCGGCTATGGAGAGAGAGCGAGAGAGAGGCTTAGGATCTAGTCCTTAGCCTCTCCAGCCCTTCCTAGCTTAGTATATAGGCCCTAGGACCTAGGTGTGGGGCTCATTCTTCATTCTGTTCTCTGCATTCCTTCTCCTAACCCAGCGGCTATGGAGAGAGAGCGAGAGAGAGAGAGAGAGAGAGAGAGAGAGAGAGAGAGAGAGAGAGAGAGAGAGAGAGAGAGAGAGAGAGGCTTAGGATCTAGTCCTTAGCCTCTCCAGCCCTTCCTAGCTTAGTATATAGGCCCTAGGACCTAGGTGTGGGGCTCATTCTTCATTCTGTTCTCTGCATTCCTTCTCCTAACCCTGCGGCTATGGAGAGAGAGCGAGAGAGAGAGAGAGAGGCTTAGGATCTAGTCCTTAGCCTCTCCAGCCCTTCCTAGCTTAGTATATAGGCCCTAGGACCTAGGTGTGGGGCTCATTCTTCATTCTGTTCTCTGCATTCCTTCTCCTAACCCTGCGGCTATGGAGAGAGAGCGAGAGAGAGAGAGAGAGGCTTAGGATCTAGTCCTTAGCCTCTCCAGCCCTTCCTAGCTTAGTATATAGGCCCTAGGACCTAGGTGTGGGGCTCATTCTTCATTCTGTTCTCTGCATTCCTTCTCTTCATTCTCCGACGCTCGACAGCGCGGCCTTCGGCCGCACGTTAGGGGTGACAAGATCAAAGGAAAATAACAGGGAACAACATGGAGCATTACAACATGCAGAAGTAAAGGAGCAACAGCAACTACAACACCTCCGGGCGTGACTACACCGCCATGGGGAAGCCCAGAGCCAAACCACGCCAGAAGGTGGTGGCCAAAGGGAGAGCACAGGCTAATCGGCGAGTATCCAAACAAGCCGACCGTCCATCCAACGCAGCACAGAAGCAACGGCCGGCACGAGGTCGAGAGGTGCCCGCGCAGCGGAAGACACAAGGCGAAGCAACGCTGCAGGCCCCGGTCCGGAGGCAACACCAAGGGCCCCCAACTCCAGGCCCATGTGTGGGAGCGACCGCAGGATCTCCGTCATGGCTGCCACGGCAGACTCGGTCTCCTGCTGAGAAAGCCTCGGACACTCCAAACCGTGAGGCGTCATGCAAGAATGCAGTTGGCCAAGGACTTCCGCCAAATGGTCCAGGCACGTCGCCACGGTCATTACGCGCAGCTCAACGCGAAGTAATCGCTCAACAGGCGTGCACTCTCCCCACCGGCTCCAACGCTCGTCTGGGGGCGGGGGAGGGGGAGGAACGGGTGCAGGCAAGGCAGGAACCACAGTCTCACGGCTCACAGGACCAGAGGCATACGACGGTGGCGGCGCCACACCGGCTGGATGAGAGGCAGGCGGAGTAGTCTGCGGAGGAAGCCGAGGCCGCGGCTGCAGCGTCTGAGATCCGCCGAGAGGGAGAGGCGTTGGAGGAGGGGGATGCTGTTGCTGCGGCACCGCTGACAGCAACCCAAGAGGCGCAGGAGACGACGCAAGCACCAACGGTGGACGCGGAGCCTGCACAGGGGGAGGCCGCTGCTGGAGCTGCCGCTGCTGCCGACGGCTCAGTCTCTCATGCTGCCTCTGTCGCCGACGCAACACGTTCGGGTCCCCGAGTCCTCCTCGCGGAGGGGAGCGATAGGATCGGCGGAAGGGGTGGGCGTGGGCGCGGGGGGAGCGGTACACAGGGGAACGTCGGCGGCAACGCTGGTCGCGTTCACGGTCGAGCCCGCCTTCAGCCAGCGCCGCGGCGACTCGGAGCAGCGCTGGCACCTGCCCGCCCGGGGCCCCTCCGGGGATGGCATCAGCAAGAGCAGACGCCACAAGAGCCAGAGCTCCAGCCGCCATTGCCGACCGAACAGGAAGTGAATGTCGCGGATACAGCGACAACGCAGAGACAGCAACGCAGAGAACGTCAGTTGCGACGGGAGGCGGGAGAACCGGCGCCGAACGCACCTCCGACAGCGCGACGTGCAGCACGTGGTGCGGCGAGAGTTCGTTGGGTGGCCCCGGCCACGCCGTGGCGTCCGGCTAGGCGTGCGGTGGGGAACGGTGGGGCGGCGGTGAGAGGGAGGAGGGGACGCGGAGCTAGAGCACATGCGCCACCAGAGCCGACAAGGACGGGTCCTTGGCGGGCAAGGCACGGTCGGGAAATCCCAACCGTTGTTGGGGGAGAGGAGGAAGAGGATGATGCTGACCATTCGTCCGATGATGCCCCCTTTATGGCATCAGCCACACCCTCATCGGAAGAGATCTCGCTCGCCGAAGAGGGTGAGGAGGGACGACGTGGCATACGCAATCGCTAAGCCCGACATCCAACGGCAAGGGGGGAAGCGGCCCAAGCACCTCCTGAGGACGACGTGGCGAATGGGGCGGACAGCAGGGCTCAGGACGTCCGTTGGGCTGGGGCATGTGGCAAGGACATCATCCGCACATGCATGGAGCTCGGCACTCGATTAATTGCCGAATGGATCCCGCGCGAGCTAAACTCCCATGCCGATGAGCTGTCCAAGATGATCGACCATGACGACTACTGTTTGAAACAACCATGGTTCCGCATCCTCAATCGCCGCTGGGGACCTCACTCAATCGACCTCTTCGCGAGCCCAAACAACTCGCAGCTGCCACGTTTTTGCTCAAAGATACCACACCCGGGGGCCACTGCAATTGACGCATTCTCGATTTCATGGTTGACCGAGAATGGCTTCGCGTTCCCGCCACCCCAGTTAATCCCAGCAGTCATCCACCACCCCCATGCACCCACGCATCTATCACCCTCGTTGTCCCACACTGGACAGGGGCAACCTGGTGGCCGCTCCTACAACCCTCCCCACCTAGCTGGGCCCCGCACATCCAAGCGCACATTCCCCTGACGCACGGCAGCCAATGTTTAGCAGTAGGAACGCACCGCACCGCTTTCTCAGGCACAGGATTGCCTCATAATACAATCATCGCATTACGAGTGGTCTTCAACTAACACATCTCGTCCTCATTCGCGCAGACGTACTGCCAAAGCTACAAGTCCAGCTTCTAAAGATGATCTCACAGTCTCGCGCCGACTCAACGATCCAAACATACGAGCCATACTGGGTCAAGTTTCGAGCCTTCTGTGCAAAGACGAACCTCCCCTTCCTCCCCGCGGCGGACATGACCCTTGCACTGTACTTGGTGTACGCCATCAAGCGCAAAGCCACCCTATCCATGGTACAACTTACATGCTCAGCCATGAGCTTCGCCCACCGCATGACCGGGAGCGCATGCCCAACGGCAGGACCATTCACCACTCAAGTACGCGATTTCGCAAAAAGGCACTGTCCTCGCCCCACGAGAGTGAAGGAGCCCGTCTCGCTGCAACAAGTTCGTGACATGTCGGCTGGATACCTGCAATCTGACAACCCCGGGGAATTCCAAAAAGGGCTCATCCCCATTCTCATGTACTCCGGTTTCCTGCGATATTCGGACCTCGTCGCCATCGAGTGGCAAGACATCCAGTTCGACGACGAGGTCATGTGGATCCTCATTCCGTACTCCAAGACGGACCAAGCTGGAAAGGGCACATGGATACCTATCGCTGCAACACACGATCCCTTCTGCCCTGTCCGCTGCACTCGACTCGCATGATATGACCAGCAGTCGGGGGGGCCGTTGATTCGCATCTTCGGTCACAGTTCCACCCAAGGTGGCCAAGCAAGGCCACCCTCATATCCGACAATCCGAAACTGGTGCAAAGAGGCCTTCGGGAAGATCGGACTTGGAGAACAGCAGCTTGGAACTCATTCATTTCGCAAGGGTGCAGCCACTGCCGCGGCAAACACCGGCGTGCCAGACAGAATCTTCAAACGACTGGGCAGATGGCGTAGTGACGCAGCAAAGGAGATGTACGTCACGCCTAACGCTGAACATCTTGTCAACGCCTCCCGCCAGTTGCAGGACCTGAACCACGCCTCGTCTTCAGCACAGCACGCAGAGGCACTCATCTGTCATCGAAAACACCTGCTACCCATGTCTCAGGGACCCCAGTTGAAATGAGAACGATGCCAAATCATAAGTAAGAGAAAGCAAGCTTTCTAAATATTATAATTTTTAAACACACGAGGTGTTTTTCAAAATTTCGTATTTCGAAAGCGCAGCTGCTTGTAACGCATGTTTTGGCATCGTCGAAGCGCGCTAAACGCCTTTCTCCAACTACAAATCGTGGGTTGGAGCTCATTTCCCTCCACCCACGTCTCTCATTTTTCCAACGGCTCATACAACTCTCCCACCCCCCGCCCCAACACCGCTGGACATCACGGACGCGGTTTGAACACGAAGATCGATAGCCAGTAGCATAATAGATAGCGAGTATAATGATTCATACGTAGTATAATATGTACTAGCACTTCTGTTTCCTAGCTTGAGATGCATGTTGTAATCTGCCAGTTGAAATGAGAACGATGCCCAGTTGAAATGAGAACGATGCCAAATCATAAGTAAGAGAAAGCAAGCTTTCTAAATACATATAGGAAACCCTAAATTGGGCTGTACTCGCTATAGAGTACCCCACTGCAGGCTAGACAAATACAACATTATGACAAAGAGAGGCATGATGATTGGGTTGGAAGAGAAATGAGGGAGACTTGTATGAGGGGGGGTTGATGCGCTTTTGTTTTCCCAAGTAATTCAGCAAATGGTTTCAACCCTCCTCTTGGAGATCAAATCCGATCGTCACGTGTGGGGCAAAACGGCGAAGCGTTTAACGTCGGGCAAAGTTTACTCACTTCTGGGTTGGGATACCGAAATAAAAAAATAGTTTGTTTCTGCCACTCATGGAAAATGTAATTCACGTAAAAAACACGTGGACAAGACAGAATTGACAGACTGCAAGTAAAAGATGTCATGTAAAAAACAGCTCAGTGATTTGTGGCTTGATTGGGCCGCACTATCATCGCGGCGGGCGAGATTGGGGCTTATCATTATCTCCAATGCACGCATCGTTAGCTTTATTTAATTGCACTTGTAACAAACAAAAAAATGTTACGCAACCCTTGCGACGTTAAACATCGAGCATTGTTATATACCCCATTGTATATGTTGTTCAAGTGATTATTTTCAATTTCCAGCGCTTCCACCTCCTGGACTCCAGTAGTTCTAACTTCGTAAGTGACAGTAGACAGAGAAATATCGCATCCATCAGAGCGAGATTTATTCGTGGACGCAAGCTTGTGCGCCCCAATCTCGCCCGCCCGTTGTGCGCGCCCCCAGGCCTGCCGTTTGCTCGCGCCCCAAGCTTGCCCCTCTACGTGCGCCTAAAGCCCGCGCGCGCCGCGCGGCGCGCGCCCGCCCGCCGCGCGCGCCGCGCGCCGCGCGCCCGCCCGCCCCGGCGCCGCGCGCCGCGCGCCCGCGCGCCCGCCCGCCGCGCGCACCGCGCGCCGCGCGCGCGGGGCGCGCGGCCCGCGCCCGCCCGCCACCGCGCGCCCCGCGCCCGCCCGCCACCGCGCGCCCCGCGCCCGCCCGCCACCGCGCGCCCCGCGCCCGCCCGCCACCGCGCGCCCCGCTCCGACCCGCCGCGCCCGCCGCGCGCGCTTCGCGCCCCGCGCCCGCCCTGCGCCCGCCCGCCGCGCCCGCCCCGCTCCCGCCCGCCTCGCGCTCCCCGCGTCCTGCGCCCGCCCGACGCGCCCGCCCCGCGCCACGCGAGATTTGCGTTGGCTATGACACCCGCACGCAAACAATGACATCACAAGCTAGCCAAGAGATGCTGATATCGTCACCACGCTTGACATACTCCCCTCACAACCATGCGATTGACACAAGGTCGGCTCCAACGATCGCCTACAATTGGCTCCTTGGGAATACAAAACGCAACAAAAATCGTTATCAGTCTTAAAATGCGCGTATTCAAAAAAAAAAAAAAAAACAATGTTTTCGTCTCTCACACTTTAGTGCAAAAAGAGGGGGAATTTCAGTTAGAGTTTTTTTTTCCTGATTTTTCAACCATCTCTTCATCCATGTTGTTCGAATCAATCTTCACAACAAATGCAAAGTCATTGTAAAGCAATCATGTTGTTGCATATTCATTGTATGTTGTAATTTTTCAAATGAAAAATATATTTAGGTAAATCTACAACACTGCTGTAGGACAACTAATACATTCCAATTTTTTTTACCATCTTAGTAGATTTAGTACGGCGTCAGCAAAGGGTCGATGCTCAGAAACATCAACGGGTCAGCAGTCGCGGGAGTAAAACCAAGTGCCGCAAGTATCGTCCCCAGTGTGTCGTGCCACTCGTGCGGCTGTCAAAATGTGATATTTGTCTAGCCTGCAGTGGGGTACTCTATAGCGAGTATAGCCCAAATTAGGGTTTCCTATATGTACTCAACTGTCTGCTAGTGCAAACCCCTCTTTCCTGTTCTATCTTTCTGCCTGCTATTCTGACATGCTATCAGAACGACTACGCTCCTGGCCTGTGGGCCCACTTGCTTCCGCTGCTATCCTGTCTGCCGCGCGCCCCATGGCGCGCGACGTTTTTTCTTCCCGCCATGCGCTCGGGGCGCATGGCGGTTTTCTGCCCGCCGCGCGCTCGGGGCGCGCGGCGGTTTTCTACCGGGCGCGCGGCGGTTTCCTGCCTCGCGCGTCACCCCGGGGACCCGCGCGTCCCCCCCGTCGACCGTCGCGCCGCCCCCGGGGACTCGCGCGTCCCCCCCCGTCGACCGTCGCGTCGCCCCTGGGGAGCCGCGCGCGCCCCCCGCGATCCTGTCGCGTCGCCCTGGGGGCCCGCGCGCGGCCCCCGCCATACCGTCGCCCGTCGCGGCGCCCTGGGGGCCCGCGCGCCGCCCTGCCCGTCGCCCGTCGCGGCCCCCTGGGGGCCCGCGCGTCGCCCCCTCCCGTCGCCCGTCGCGGCGCCCTGGGGGCCCGCGCGCCGCCCTGCCCGTCGCCCGTCGCGGCGCCCTGGGGGCCCGCGCGTCGCCCCCTCCCGTCGCCCGTCGCGGCGCCACGGGGGCCCGCGCGCTGCCCCGCTTCTGCTCGCACGCCGCCCCAACTGCTGCCCGCGTTTCTGCCCCACGCTGCCTGCGTTTGGGGTGTGGGGGTGGCGGGTATGGGGGTGGCGGGTGTGCGAGCCGTCCCCTGCTCCTCCTCCTCCTCCGTCTCCCACTGCTGCAGCTGCCGCTGAGGGGGGTGGGTGTGTGGGAGCCGAGGGAGTGGCGCTAGGGGGGTGACGTGGGAGAGGAGCTAGGGGTGCAGCAAGGGGTGTGTGAAAGGGGGGTGGGACAGTTGGGGGAGGTTGAGCGGAGGCTGCCGTCGTGTCGTCAGCAGCG